TCTGTGAAGCACTTTGAGCTGCCACAAAAAGGGCTGTATAAATAAAAACTCTTCTTCTTCTTCTTATTATTATTATTATTATGTAATAACTTTCCGTGACGGAGCTTTTAGAGGTGGAATCTGATTCCCACCACCACCACTGTGAACAGTTCTGCCATCTTAATGATTTAATAACGCAGAAACTGGTGAAATTCCCTCTTTAAGAGTGTAGATATCTGTAAGGCTGTCTGTGCCAATACTTCTCCATCGTACAGCTTCATGTTCATGGTGTTCTTCCCTGGTATGAAGATCATATTTTACCTAAATAATGATTTACAGCGTTCATTTTCAAACTATTGTTAAAAGGTCTCACTGAACCTCTTTTGACCCAAACCTGCTTTAAACACCTGAGTGCTGATAAGTGCTGACATCAAATTTGTGGCTTTTGGCTTTATTCCCAAGGTAGCACTGAGAGAGAGAGAGAGAGAGAGAGAGAGAGAAAGAGGGAGGGAGGGAGAGAGCGAGAGAGAGAGAGAGAGAGTGAGAGAGAGAGAGTAAGAGAGAGAGAGTAAGAGAGACAGAGAGCGATAGAGAGAGCAAGAGAGAGAGAGTGAGAGAAAGAGAGAGAGAGAGTGAGAGAGAGAGAGAGAGAGAAAGCGAGAGAGAGTGAGAGAGACAGAGAGAGCGAGAGAGAGAGCGAGAGCGAGAGAGAGAGAAAGTGAGAGAGAGAGAGAGCGAGAGAGAGAGAGAGAGAAAGAGAGAGACAGAGAGAGCGAGAGAGAGAGAGACAGAGAGCGAGAGAGAGAGAGAGAGAGAAGCAGGCTGTGGAGTTAGGCCTTGTTTCTGTATCTGTTCTTCTGCATGCATCAGTGAAATCCTCCTCTTCCTCCTCCTCCTCCAAACGGTCACGATGGATGCTCGAGTGGGAATTGCGCCGTCGGAGAAAAGCAATGTAGAGCGCTGGCCTGTTTGGAAGTGGACATGTGTGGCAAAGCAAGAGCCGCACGTGTGTTTATGTGTGTGTGTGTGTGTTTATGTGTGTGTGTGTGTGTGTGTGTGTGTGTGTGTGTGTGGTCAGAGCTTGCTACTGCGATCCTATGAGATTTTGTATTTTTCGCCCTATTTAGCAGTGCGTAAAAATCCCATCTCCCCCTGAGCATCGCCTTTATGGCCCCGGGCTATTATTCAGGGCATCTACTGATCACACGTCCACAGTGTGCTGCGATTTCTAATGACATATACGAATGTATAGCATGTATTCACATATCATACATACAGAAAACTGTAAAAGAGCTAAACTCACACTTGTGTTTTCACAAACAGTGCTTTTTTAACAAACCCAACCCGGTTCTGTTACAGTGAACCTGAGTGGGAAATGTGTGCTAATGACCTCAATGCAATTCTGTTCACAGTGTAAGAGAACTTTAAATGGGCTCGTTCAGCGTCTCTGGGGGTCTCAGGCTGCAGTCGTGGTTTTCTGTGCATATGTTAAGACATAAAACGAAGTCAGACCCCCTAAACAGACCCACAAACGAACCGAACTCAGACCACCTCCCGAGGTGAGCTCAGTATGTTTGTACATATGTTTAATTCGTGGTTTGTTTCGTGGTCCAATTTTACACCTCTAGAAAAATATATACTTTAGTAAATCATAATAATGAGAAAGTTTCCATAATTATGACTCAGTATCTCATAATACTGAGTTAATATCTCATAATTATAATTTTCTATCTACTAATAATGAGACACTAAGTCATAATGATGAGATCCAATCTCATAATTTTGATTTATAATCTCATAATTATGATTTACTTAATCACAATTATGACTTGCTATCTCATACTTATGACTTAAAATATCATAATAATAAGATCCTAACTCATAATTATGATTCAGTATCACATAATTATAAATTCCTATTGAATAATAATGAGACACTAAGTCATAATGGTGAGATCCAATCTCATAATTTTGATTTATAATCTCAGAATTATGACTTACTATCTCATATTAATGACATCCTACCTCAGACCTCCTACTTTATCACAGTTATGACTTGCTATCTCATAATTATGACTTACTATCTGACTATAATGAGATCCTAACTCATAATTACTATTTAGGATCTCATAATTGTGACTTACTTTATCACGATTATGATTTGCTATTTCATAATTATGACTTAGTATCTCATAATAATGACTTACTATGTTATAATGCTGCCTTAAAATCTCATAACTGTGAGTTAGTCTCTTATAATAATGGCATTTTCAAAATTATGACTATTAACATCTCAAAATTTTGACTTAGCATCTCATTATTAAGACTTAGTATCTCATAATTATGACTTTGTCACAATTACTAGTGTCATATAATAAAGACTTACCCTCTCATAACTATGAGGAAACGCTCTTATTATTATGAGATCGTAAGTCATTATTATGAGATATTAGGTCGTAATTATGAGAAAACTTCTCAGTATTATGAGACAATGAGTGTGCTAATTATACGGCCACATTCTTCAGCGCTCAGCAGATTAAAAACAAACATGTGACCTGAAATTCAAAACTCCACAAAAACATTCTTACCACAGTCTGAACATGAGAGAGTTTTTGTTTATTACTACAAATGTCATTTCTCTCAAATCAGTCTTGTCTTTGCCCACTTGTCAATCAAACACACTGACCCGCCCCCTAAGAAGCACGTCTTGTTCCTTTTTAGGCATGAGGTGCGTCGTGCTTCGTCTCTGTATGCCCCCTTAGCACAGTGCTAACTGGTGGGGTATTTACTTTCATTACTTGTTAGCTACATTAGCCTCGTAGCTCCTGTGCTAAAGCTAAAGAAGCTAACTTCAAACACCAAACATGTCTTGGCTGAACGACACCATCTGGGGAAAATTAGGGGATAATTAGATTTTTGGCCAAACTTTCGCTTTAAAATCTCACATCAATGAACTCGCAGTTCAGCACGAGGTCAGTCAGAAGCTCATAATCAGAAGGTGTGATTATTTATGTAAGTACAGCAGTTTAATTTTCCTCAAGCTGCTCAGAAGCCTGTGGGCCGTCCTGGGCCGGTGAGGAAATTGCTGAACACAGCAGTGCTGTAGCTGAGAGGCACTGAGGCAGCCTCGACACGCATCTAAAGAGCTCCTAACGAGGGCTCCTCCTGTCATCAGGCCCACTCACGCCTCCCCCAAATCCACCACCAGAGAGAGAAGGAAAAAACCTACTCAGCACTTTTTGGGCTGCTTTTCCAGAACAGATCAGAAAAGTCCTGCACTGAAAGAGTTTTACACGCAGAGTCTCCACTGAAACGGTAAATCAGACCAACACTGGGCTTAACATGGGCGCAGAAACACTATCAGCTCTGAGAGAGCAGAGGAGGGCAGCCAGAGAGGACAGACAGACAGACAGACAGACAGACAGACAGACAGACAGATAAGGGTTGATCTGAAGGTGCTTATTTAACTGAAGCTGCAGATACAACTTTATTATAATGTTAAATAAAGCGCGCAGTCATTTTTGTCCAAAAATAACAAAACAATGGAATATTATATAATTATTGATTTACTGAGTTATTAGGTATATATTTACTTCTATATTTATTTCTTCTGTCAATGTTCATCCATGTAAACAGTTTATTCAGATCATTTTTAAAGTAATTATGAATCATACCAGAAGAATCAAATCAGATTGAATCACATTGAAATGTGATGTTTCATGCAGTGAATCACTTATAAAGAATCATTACTGAACTGAATCATAGCCAGTTCAATAATGATAGCCATATATAGATATAGATATAGATATATGCAAATGTGTCATAATATTTTTTATTAAAACTCAAAAAAGTTTATTTCATTGCAGAAAATCTGTGTCTCGGTAGTGACAATTATTAATGTTCCACACTGATTTTCAGACTTTGGGACACATTTACTTCAAAACAGTGGGATCTAACTGCTCACCATGTGGCCATGAGGGACAGGGATGCAGCCTCACCTCCTGCTCTAAAATGCAGGGGTGTGGCTAAAATAAGTCTCCGCCTACAGACTAAAAGTCTTTGTGTTTGAGTAATGACAGGAAAGGTTTTTTAGTTGAAAATTTATGCATCTAAATATATCTAAATATTTCAACCTTCCTAAAAATACAACAAACATAAAATGTAAGTATTATTTTCAGAAGTGTACATTTAGGGGTTGGGTTTGGGACAAACACCCCCCCAATAGAAAGTACCCTATAAATGATGATTTTGTATATATTTAGCTTATTACTATCTCTATTAAATTTTTAAAATGGTATAATGTTGGTATTTCAAATGTAAAAATAACTGTAAATCGTACAAAAAGAACTTCAACTGTATCACAGGGAAATTTGAGATTCAATGCAGTGAATCGTTTCATAATTTATTGTCAGGTCAGAGATTTAGAGCCCTGAATGATGGATGGATGGATGGATGGATGGATGGATGGATGGATGGATAAATACATAGATGTACAGACAGACTGCAAAATTGATATCTTAGCAAATGAAAACATCACAAATCTACTCAATCTATCTAATATGTCTCATTATGAAATTGCTGTAAGAATATTATTAGTTCATTTACTTGATTTTAAGTACATATATTTATCAAATTTTATCCAGTTAAAGTGTCTTTTTGCCTTTGCTTTGATAAATAATGCAGACAATTTTGCTAATTTCAAAAAATAATAATTAAAAAAAGTAATATTGTCCACCAGTGTAATTAGACACTTTCATAAGATAAAATTACTTAAAACAAGTAAAACATGTCTAGAAATAAATTAAATAATCATATAATATTCAACTCAGAAACATATCAAAACCTCAAATATATAACAATCTCATAGTCTGAGAAATATTTAAATATTGACTTTATTTTTTTCATCTGCTACAGTATAATTTTTTGCAATGTAGACAGATAAGAAAAGAAAAAAAGCTAGAAATAGAGAAAAAAGGGGTCGAGAGAGATAAAGACAGTAGAGAGAGAGAGAGAAGACTCACTCTTTGATGTGTTTTCGGCAGGGGACCGAGTTGCGCATGCAGGTTCCGGTCAGCCGCTCCACGTCCTCCACGATGACGAACGGCTTCTCCTCCAGAGTCACGATGGTCAGGTGATTATCGTCCGTCTCTGCGTCTCCGAAAGAGTTGAAGCGCGGCCACACCGGATACTTCAGGGTCAGACTGCGGTTCTCCCACTTCCCCATCTGCACACACAGCAGATAGAACAGGAACGGTCACTGCCTTCAACCAGTTTAAACTCACTGATACTCATACTGTAATAACGCTGTGTTTGGGGTCTTTTTAGAAAGCAGGGTGGGAGTAAACGGCTGTACCAGGACAACACGTGTTTAAACAGTTCTAGTCTGAACAGTAAACAGATGTTCAAGAACTCTTGATAAGGTTGGATTCAACACATAGAAACAGTTAAATATGAAATGAAACACCCTGAAAAGAGGCTAAAATAGCCCAGCAGCTGCAGTGACCGCTGTGTGAATCGCTGTTGGAATCATTTACACTGATGTGCATATGCTGGGAATAACCATTCAAAAGTTTGGGATCACTGCTTTCAGTAAAATACCAAAAAATGAATTCATTCATCTTCTAAGCTGCTTATCCTCCTGGGTCGTGGGAGGTGCTGGAGCCTATCCCAGCGGTAACCGGGGGAAGGCAGGAAACACCATGAACAGGTTGCCAGTCCATCACATACACATTCACACCTAGAGGCAATTAGCATCCCCAGTTGGTCTGACTGCATGTCTTTGGACTGTGGGAGGAAACCCACACAGACACGGGGTGAACATACGAAACTCCACGAAAAAAGGAAGCTGGTTGCCTGGCCGGGGAATCGAACCCAGGCCCTTTCTGCTGTGAGGTAACAAAGCTACTCACAGCGCCACCTTGCCACCTGAGACACCATTCAGTAACTTAAACATGGCATTTATTTGCATATTTTACTGCACTACTAAAATATTAGAGAGAAACAAAACATTAAATGTTAGATGTGCCATAACTTTTGCACAGGCCACAATATATGTTAAATTGAGTACATTAACAGAAATTGTGCATTAAAATGTGCATGTGTGCATATTTTCACTTATAAACTGCATAAAATGCAATCTCAGTCTGATTTGGTCTCAGTTCAGCCCTGAATTTTAATGTTTTTAAGTAAAAAAGTATATTTTGAAACTATTTTACTTGACTGCCCTGTGATGGACTGGCGACCTGTCCAGGATGTTTTCTACCGCATGATGAACACTGGGATAGTCTCCGGTACCCTCCGCAACCCAGAAGGAACAGCAGCTTGGAAGATGGATGGATATTTGAGTTGATTGTATGAATAAAAATAACAAGTCAATTTGCACTCCGCAGGAGGAGGGGGCCCTGCAGAAAGAGCTAAATTTAAAAGATTTATTTTTTTTTCCTGTAATGTTCCATCAAAATTGGCCTACTTTTAAAACATATTCTGACTTTTGATGATGTCACCATGCACCAGTGGGTGGGAAAAAAAAATCAACCAATAATATCATATTTCCTGACCCCCACATGGAGAGAAAACACTCAGATCAGAGACCCTCCCTGACAGAGTTTCACACAAAAATACACCACAGAACAGACGGAGAATGACTTTGATTCATGTTAGATTTAAGACCCTCCAACATCGCCTCGTGTCTGAATCGTCTGAACCTCTTTTTAGTTAAGCTCTCTGTGGACGCACTGATGACGCCCTCAGCACGCTCGGAAAAGACAACAATAACAACGACTCAACCACTGTATCATGTCTTCATTTTACCTGCCCGTAACCCCACTGAACTGGGCTCTGCCTCTGCTGTGGAGCCACCAGCATCACCAAAACCAGCCTGACCAGCCTGACCAACACCGCCGGGTCACAACCTACTCAACCACTCGCTTCTGCTCTGCTCTCCTCCTCTACTAGTCAGAAAAAAAGAAAATCGCTCACAAAAGTTGTTTATTCCAGCCAAGGATGGGAGCCACTGCAGGCATTCTGAGGATTTACAGCCTTAATATGAGGATTCAGGGAACAAACACAGAGTCTCTGTTCAGCTGAGCTTCAGCTTTCCTCTCACAGCTCTGACGGAACTGAAAGATAGAGCTACTTCAGATTACTGTCACTCTGAAGACGTGCACTATTACTGGGACCTCAACACAAGACAAATACTGCCAATAGTGAGCGGCTGTTATGTGGTTTTATTATAAAACAGCCTGATATGCAATAAATTTCAGGGTCTAACAACTCACAAAACTCATAATTCGGTTGGTTACAGCCGTGATGTGATTCAACTTTCAAAGGAGCCTGAAAAATGTGGCTTATTTTAACTGTTGTATTGTTTCTATTTTCACTTTATTAGAGCTTTCAACCTTATAAAAGTATAATATTTTAAAATAATACGCTTACTATGAGCAAAGATGGTTGTTAATATAGACACGTGAGGAGTGTGGTTTTCCTACCTGTCTGTGATTTTACGTTGATGTTTACACAGATGGTCTGTCCTCATTGTCAGCCTGCTGGATTAATTTGTGTTATATTTTATGTAATATAACCAGTATTCAACTAAGTGAATAGTTTTCTCCAGTGTGCTGAATCTATTTTTCAGTGTCTGTGTGGTGAGTGGCCTGTACTGAACAATACAATGCAATACACCACATTGTTACATTCCTAATATATACAATTTTAAAGAAAAACAGCTTCCTCTGCAGCAACTTCACATGAGCCTAAGGTCACCATGCCAAGCGTGGGCTAGAGGGGTATAAAGCCCCCCAGCATTGGGCTGTCACGTCACAACACTGGATGATCTCCAAAATCACACTGAAAGAGCCGTGAGTGCAGCAGCACCCGACACGCTCAATCCAGTATGGGACGAATTTGACTATGGTGTTGATGTTGTCTGTACAGCTGGAGGAGGTTCATACTGAGACCTTGTACAAGTACATAATAAACTTTATGCTCATTTAAACCATTTACAGTTCACTGCATTGATCTGTAATGATTTACAAGAGAAATAAATCATTTTTAAATACATATATATATATATATATATATATATATATATATATATATATATACACATATATATATCACTGTCAGTAGTGATGTTAATGCACATGTATTCATGGTGGATGTAGCTCTCTCAGGCCAGGTTGCAGGACACTAGCACAGCAACAACAGGCTGTCAGGTTAAAATCCAGTCAATAATTCAGTATAGTTTGGGGTGGGGGGGGTGGGGGGTGTATGTGCTGTAATGCCTCTACCTCCACACAGAGATCACAGGAACATATAGAGCACAACAAAGCCGAGCACAGCAGCTAAACTCCAGCACAGCATCCATTCTTAATGGAACAGCTTCCAGAAATCTCTCTCTCTCTCTCTCTCTCTCCCTCTCTCTCTCTCTCTCTCTCTCTCTCCCACTTTTACTTGGGAGCATTCAAGCGTTCAGGCTGACTTTACATAAAAAAGTGTTGCCTTTGTAGCTCAGCCGCCCTTGAAAACTTCACGGCCGCTGTGGAGTGCGCACTCGTACGCACGGGCATTACCTCTAATGTCTTGAGCCATTAGGAGACCGCAGTACCAAAGTACTCAAAACCTTGATAGGTATTCTTTTATTTATTTATTTATTTATTTATTTTCCCATTTCACCTAGCCTACTGCAAATATGTGCTGTGAAGTGAATGCATTTGAAGCCTCCGTGCTGCAGGCGCTCGTTCGTGGACCCTCAGCTCCCCTGAACAGCGTCGTGATCTGTTAGTAGCACATTTCTACTGAATTAGACTTAACTTATGGGGGGGGGCTGCTTAGAGTCCCCTCCAGTTGAGTGAACGTGCTCATTCTGTCATATACACCTTTTTGAAATATAACTGACCGGCCACCTTATTAAACCACTTCCTTATATCTACACTCACTGTCCATCTTATCAGCTCCACTGACCATATAATTTCACTCTGTAGTTCTACAGTTACAGACTGTAGTCCATCTGTTTTTTTTTGCATATTTTCTTATCCTGTTCTTCAGTGGTCAGGACCCCCATGGACCCTCACAGAGCAGGTACTGTTTGGGTGGTGGATCATTCTCAGCTCAACACAGCAGTGCTGCTGGAGTTTTTAAACACTGTCTCCACTCACTGTCCACTCTATTAAACACTCCTACCTTGTCAGTCCACCTTGTAGATGTAAAGTCAGAGACGATAGCTCATCTGCTGCTGCACAGATTGTGTTGGTCATCCTCTAGTCCTTCATCAGCGGTCACAGGACGCTGCCCACAAAACGCTGTTGGCTGGATGTTTTTGGTTCTCAGTCCAGCAGCGACACCGTTGTGTTTAAAAACTCCAGCAGCATATTAATGTGTCATTAATTTGACAAATTAAGTCTCAAGAAAATTAGTAAATGTTTCACCATAAGTCATTTGACTTCTGATATAATTTCTCTGGAAAATAAGTCATTACTTAGACATAATAATGCATTAATTTGACATATTAATTTGACTTCTGATATCTTGAGAGGATGAGTCATGGTTTTGACACAATATATCATTTTTTTGACTTACTAAAACACAGTGTTTAAAAGCTCCAGCAGCACTGCTGTGTCTGATCCACTCAGACCAGCACAACACACACTAACACACCACCACCACGTCAGTGTTACTGCAGTGCTGAGAATGATCCACCACCCAAATAGTACCTGCTCTGTGAGGGTCCATGGGGGTCCTGACCACTGAAGAACAGGGTAAAAGGGGGCTAACAAAGTATCAGAGAAACAGATGGACTACAGTCTGTAACTGTAGAACTACAAAGTGCACCTATATAGTAAGTGGAGCTGATAAAATGGACAATGAGTGTAGAAACAAGGAGGTGGTCAGAATGCTACGCCTGATCGGTGTAATCGCAATGCTGGCATTTCGTCCGTATCGTGCAGCCCCAGCGTGACTCAGGTAAACAGTTCCACTTTCTCATCCTTCAAACACTTAAAAAAGTTTTAGAACTAAGTCACACAGGCTCAGGCATAAACAGCGTGGCGAAGCAGATAAGCAGCAGAGCGGCAAAGTGGAGAGAGAGTGGGGGCGAGAGAGGGGAGGGGTGAGAGGGAGAGGGAGAGAGAGAGAGAGAGAGAGAGAGAGAGAGAAATGAGATGGACCGAATCGATAGAGAAAGAAACTAGTGTTCCAAACGGCACAAACACTAAGTAATGACGGTGC